TGCTCCTGCCCAGGCTCATCATGAATATTCCGCACTAAGAGTCCAATATGGAACATAACCCAAACACATTTGATATCGCAAACACCTAGAAACTTGGATTTTCTTATTTGGTTATTTTGAAATACTTGGGTGTCTATATGACAGTGAGCGGGTTTCAGGGTGTGTCTGGAAAAAATTGAATTTTGCTTTGTTAAAGTCAAGAAAAAAAACTGTACAGTTATTATTTTTATGGTATATTGCAGTTTATTATAAATAATTTATCTGTACGTCATTATTATTATTATCTGTACGTCTGAGCGAAACGGCTTCTCGAACAAGAAAAAACGTACTACTTGATTTTGTCCATCAGGAATTGGATCATTGTGGTTTGATATTGCTGTGATGTCATGTGAGTGACAGGTTGACACGCCCTCATATCAGTAAACACATCATCAGTGAAGAGAAGAGGTTATTTCTATCAAAGAGGGGACATGATTTGAAAAATAAAAATATAATGATGTGGATGGATAAATCATTTATAATAAATATACTGCAATATTGCATAAAAAATAATTGTACATTTTTATTTCAATGATTTTAACATCTCCCTCAAAGGCGGCATTTGCAATTCAGAGACCCGTTTTAAAGAAACAATTGGGAAATATTGGCTGTTTTCGAAATTGCTCTTCCCATTGTTGACTTGAGGGAGTGATTTAAAACCAGTGAGTGAATTCGGACACTGAGTGTGCCGTCCTTTTGCATATTTTGTGCTTGCTGTTTAATAATCGTTTGAAACTTAGAAAACTGGCAGCTCTAGTTGTAAAATGAAAAGATCTTATCTTTATAGATTTAACAACTCTGTCATGTATAAACCTTAATTAAACAATTTCATAGTCAAATAAAAGGAATTTATCCCTGTATGACATTACGCTGTACCCACATTGGACCAGCGGTTTGGAAAACGTTTGGGTGGATAATTCAGCTGCGGGCGCCATCTTCTGGTCAGACATGCGAATTCATTCACTCTCACAGTGCATTATGTGTATTCTCTGTTAAGCATACATCAGTTGTATACGAATGTCTGCTGTTTGGGAATGCAATCATGTAAGACAGTTCTAGTAGGTAATTTTACCAAACCAAAGACATTTCAGAATGACCAAAACAAAATTTCAGATATGCAACGAGATCAGTCCGCTTGTCAATGCGGTTTTATGCTACATTCACGCCATGTCTTGATTCCGTTAATAACGCTCTGTATGCTTTCAAATCATTTTCACAGTACATAAACCCGATCAGTCTGCACAGTGCAGCTTCAAGTCAAACACAGCTTCGTTATTATCCCAAAGCGCCATATGACGCTTTTGCAAAAGCGTAAATATCCAACGCACATGGCACCCTTTGACGTGAAATGAGACGCAGATATATTTGGGCAGAAGGCACCCCCTAGTGGTCTAACCCTTACCCTACACCATACCTAAACTTAACCATTAACCGAAGCGTCTCATTAGACGTTAAAGGGTGCCATGTGCGTTGGATATTTACGCTTTTGCAAAAGCGTCCTATATGGCGCTTTGGGATGAGAACGCGTTGCTTTAATCTGTAGTGGTCAGGTGGTACAGCGGCCACGTGGTCGTAGCTATCAGAAAATGACAAGTTTGCATGTTGTAATTTCAAGTTTTACAAGCACATGAAGGCTTTTTACAGTTCAGAATAGTTACGGTAATTACGAAATGGTGTGAACACACCTCTATGCCATCCCATCGCGCAGACAGATTACTTTTTTGATGCGCATCAAGAAATTTATTCGGTAATGTCTTTCCATCATATGTGCACATTTTGTTTTTTGTTTGTTTTATTTATGTCCATCCAGGATTTTTTTTTTATCCGATATCCCAAAATGCACATAAGAATATTGTGGATGGAACATATTGTTATACATGAAAACAGACTTTGAACGCACCATAAATGATTTCAGTTAAAGGCTATTTTAATGATCCTATACAATATCCAGCATTACATGAATGTAAAAAGAGACACATTTCTAGTTTGATGTTGATGAAGTGGCTCAGTAAAGCTAGACAAAAAGGCTGAAGTAGAAACAGAAAGTGCATGTTAAAGTTACATAACAGACTCATGCCTCCAGCACATCATACTTTAACATTTCACAACCAGGCCATCATTATTATAAGCATGCACGCTTATTCAAAGAGTTCATTCCCGACACAATCCTCAGACTTCTTCAAAGCACATTAACACCCAAACGACCCAAAAAGGATAGACTCAGTTTAAAGACAATGAGCAAAACATGCTTTTCAAGCTAAAGTAGGTTAAATATAGAATTTATATATATATATATATATATATATAGAGCACATGGTAATTGCATTCAGTTTGAGTCGTACTATAGCCAACTCATTACATTCAGTGCGGCTCCAGCTGTTTCAGGTGCAATTAATGCAAACTCTCTCAGATCCTTTAAGGACTCTCCATGTAGAGCCAGCAGAGGTTTTGAAGGACTAGCTTGTGGATCACCTTTCCTGCATGCTAATGCATCCGAAGCATGCACTTGTTGACTTGAAAGGAAAGGAAGAAGGCATACGCTAAAGAGGTAAACATGATCAATCCAATAAATGACCCCTGACTGGAGAGCAAGAGCCAAGTAATCTCAGACAACAAAAACCCAAGTGGTCCCACTGGTACCATCACTGTTTGACATGTCTGTAATACACGTCTTCCGCTCCACTGCAAGTGTTCAAGATATTAGGGTGGGCACCGAGGGACCTCTGACAACCACCCCCCTAGCTAAAACAGTCAAGCTGATGGACTAAATCAATGTGAGAGATGCTACAGACATATTGAGCAAAACATGTCTGGCTGAAGCAGCTTTCATACAAAATAGGGAAAAATCATATAAGATATGAGAAATGATAATCTCCTGCTTTTGAAAAACATAGAAAGCATTCAATGTGCATTAAAAAAGCTCTGTTTTTATATAAAGATCTGGATTCGTCTTCTAAAACCACTTTATAAGCATGCCTGTGCTCTTTTAACAAAACAGGTTCTCTCCTCCTCTCTGGATATAATATGGTTCAGCTTGATAAGCCTTAATAGGGGCATGTATTAGACACTTTGCTGAGGCTGTCTCTGCACAAAGAGCTCCAGCAGGTTCACCACTGCATTTTATTAACTTGACAGGTTAACTTAAAGGGAGGGGGAAACACATCTCAGAGTGTGAGGCTCAAATTAGCCCAACAGCAATAAACACAATTACCCACTCTAAAACAACACTGACACTAATTAGGCCACCGATGAATTACTTAAAGTTCATGCTTTGTCTCTAACAACACTGCAGCATTTAGAAAAAGAGATAGCTATCTGACAAAATATTCATAAATAGGCTATAGGCTAAATAAATTATACAAATAATACTATTTTAAAATATGCTTAGAAACATAATCTGATTTTGTATGTGATTTTAAAACCCACCCTCAGAACATAACACAACACTACTGTGGAAAAAAAACTAAATAAATTCTGAGAATAATTTAATGAAAATGATTCTGTTTTCCATTTTTTTAATAATAATAAAAAAATACTTATTATTAGCATTACAATTTGAGTGAAACATTAGCATGAATTCACATTTCAGAATTTCCCAAATAATTAACTTGCACAATATAATATAACTGTTAATGGTTGACACAATTTCTTGTTTGATTGGATCTTAATTTGATTAAGATTCTGTGAATATATTCTTCTGTGAACTCTGTTGTAGATGTGTTATCCACCAAATCTGCAGATGTGTAAGACACTCTTTATAGCATATTTTACATAATACGTAAATAATGGATACACAGTTTAATAATGCACAGTTTAATAAATACTTGAACATAGGTTAATAAATAATCTGCTGCATAGCCAATTCAGAGTGTCAAACTTAGTCAATTATGTGATTTGTGTGGTTTAATACACAACAAATGTAAATGTACATAGGCATATAACTTGGCTTTTTTCACATTAAATAAATATGCAGCTGGCTAAATAGATGGATGGATGGACAGACGTCCATACTACAGACAGACAGACAAAAAGACAGATAGATCAATGGTTGTTTGTGCTAGATCTCTCAAACTTTGATACACCATAGCCACATCAACTACATTTATTTTGCAAAATAAAACTCACTTGGACGAGTACTACAACCACAGAGTAAAATACAAAGAGTTTAGTTGTTGCAATCTGCATACCTCACCACAGGTGTACGTTGTAAAACTAGCATGGGAATAGACGTAAGACTGAGAGGTACGTAAATTCTGAAAATATTCCCACAAAAAAGGATGCACTCAAATGAGGTGGATGTTTTTCATCTGATAAGACGGCATCCATAAACCACGATGAAAGCACATTCGCCACATACATCCCCAGATGCGCAACAAAAAATGTGACTTTGCTTTAAAAGATTGTGATTGATAATTGGAATCATTGGAATCATTAAGTTGGTTGTAACATTTTTAATGAACTAATTACAACTACCCCAAGCAGCCATAACATAACTGTAGCATGTTAGCATGAACGCAAAGTATCAACTTAAACTACAAACAGCGTATATATCTAAGTCAAATAATTTAATCTATAATGCAATTGCAAGACAAAAAAAAATCTTAATAGTAAATATTTACTGTCCTTTTTTTTTTTTTGGTCATAAAAGGTACAATGTTGCTCACAGCCGCATACCACTTCTCCTATGAGCTCAAAAAGGTGATGCGAGTGTATGACATTGATGATGATATCACCACAATATTCCTTTTTGACTTGTTAAATCTTATATATTATCAGAATTAAGATAATACATACATTTACATGTTTGTGTTGGTTATTTCACAATCAACAAATAAATAAATAAATCTTAGTCCAGACCACTAATCTATATAAATTTATTTAGGTAAGTGGACCAGCAGACAACCTCCTCCCTCTTGTTTTCCTTTCAGAGTCTTTTCCCATAATGCAACAGTCAACAAAGGAAGAGGGAGAGGAACAGGGGGACAGGCTGTAGTGAAAGTGGCTAGCTAGCTAGCACAAAAAAGAGGAAGAAAGAAATGGAGCTGTCTTGAAAAATTAAAGGAATGTTTCTTTCATCAAACAGGCAAATACCAATGAGGAGAAAACAGCCTCGGCTCCTTACGTGCATGAGATGATGACAGACAACGAGTAGTTGGTTTTAATGTAGTAAAGCAGCTCTTGTTCAAATGAGGGAGCTGTTGCTGTATTAGCTTAGCAGCTAGCCGTCTATTATTGGCACGCTAATGCTAAATGCAACCCTCGTCGTCAGATCTACGGACATGTTCGACCCAGATCCATCTTTCTGAAACGAGAGAGGGGAATTCAACTGTTTAAAGTGGTAAGTGGACGTAATTTGTTGAATGTACGTGCATATTTACACTGCCTATTTGTGTCGGACACTATAAATGTCCCATAGCCTGCTATTAGCTAATTCAGCTCACTCCAGTCAGGCCTGTTATTGTGCAAGACAAAGTTATAAAGATTTATCTGATTGTCCCAACGTTTATTTATTTATTTATTTTTATAATTGATTACACTTCCGCCTTTTAATGTTTGGTATGTTGCTCTATAATTATTGTGTTAGATGCTGCTGTAACTTATTTAGGCTAGTGTGTTGATAAAGGCCTGTGTCAGTTCTGCTGTAAACTGCTGATTTTGATGAACACCAAGGATGGTGGGGTTAATTAGGTTTTGTGTTCGACATTCGTTAGACAGTCGCCAAGCAAATTCAGGGTCTGTCTTAAAAGTACACACACAAATATTCATTACAATGTGCGAAACCATGCAAAGCATGTATGCAAAAGCATAAAATGTAAAGATGTGAATTAAGTGGAAAACCTTCTTTTTTGTCAAATATGAACTAGATAGTTTTAAGCTGTGAATGGGATATTCACTTTATATAACAACATGTGTAGGCCATTACTTTGTACTACAAAATTACATTTTACCAGATAGAGACAGGTAATGTCACACCAACTGGAATTTATTCACTACTAACCCTTGGAATACATACACAACTTGGGATTTGGATTTGGAAAACGTAATTTTTTTCTATTTTTAGTAGGGCTGTGCAAAAGTTAATTGCGATTAATTGCATCCAAAATAAAAGTCTGTGTTTACATAATATATTTGTGTGTGCTGTATATAATTATTTTGTATATATAAATACCTATGCATGCATGTATATATTTAAGAATTATTTGCGCTTAAATTCTGTATATATTTATAAATACATAATCAATATTATATAAATATAAATATTTTATATATGAATAACACATTTTCTTAAATATATACATGCATGTGTGTGTATTTATATATACAAAATAATTATATACAGCACACACAAATATATTATGTAAACACAGACTTTTATTTTGGATACGATTAATCGCAATTAATTTTTGCACAGCCCTAATTTTTAGTGAATTTTTGAAATACGCAAATCCAATTAACTTCCTGGTTATGTGACCTCATGATGTTACATCATCTGGAATTATTCGCTAACCTGAAACACATCATACACGACTTGGATTTATAAAACGTAATTTTGTCTATTTTTTGTGAATTTTTGACATGCGCTAATCCAATTAACTTCCTGGTCATGTGACCTGATGATGTCACACCACCTGAAATTTATTCGCTAACAGTGTTTGGGAAGTTACTTTTAAAAAGTAGTGTAACTCATTACTTCTCAAAAAATGTTATCTGTTACTTTATTTAGTTAAACCATATGGAAAGTAACTTTTTAATGTTACTTGTTACTTTTAATGTTGCTTGACTTTGGGCAGAACCCAATATCTGTTCTTAAATCTGTTGGCCTATATAAAGTTCTACTATGCATAATGCCACATATAATGGCATAAATGCGTAATGCATTTATCAAAATTTTTAATATTTATGGAGAAATGCCTGTTAATGGATCTAGGCATGGATGGCGCTAGGGAGGGGCTAGAAATAAAGCCCCCAAGAAAGACCAAAGCTCCCTGTCAGGCTGTATTCTATGGAAGTCCTGAGCCACATGGTGAAAAAAAAAAATGAAAACATCTTATTTGCATTAAGCCAAATTAAACATGCTATTAGTGTCATAATGATTAATACATGCATGCACAATTATCTGTGAACTTGATAAATGTTGCAGATATGTTTTACTATGCACGTAAACAAAATATTTTAATGGGTTTTTTTTTTGTTTTGTTTTTTTGAGGTAGGTTAGTTAGGGGGTTCAGGGTTCCCCCGAGAAAATTTTGATTTGTCTGATCTACATATGTGCATTTTAGGATGTTCTGAAGGCCAAAAATATTGGATAACAGCTTTAAAACCATGTCAGTGGGCAACTGATTATTTTTCTATCCTCATCAGCATCACCCTCTTTTTCTCTTTGTTTTATCTTGCCCTGTCTCTTCCCCTCCTAAAGCTGAGCTTTGACTGATATACTGGCTTTTCATTTTTGTCTGTCAGTGAAGAAAGTAAACAAAGGGTAAACTGATAGGTTGATTTTGCCTATGAATATTTTTTTTCAGACGCATTTTATTTACTGAAAGCTACTAAAGCTAGGTATTTCATTTTTATTAAATACATTCCCAACATGTAGGCTACACATTCATTATTGATATTATGCCTAATAGAGGGCCATAGTCAGGGCTTTATAATCAAAGATGTTCTAAATTTGAGTTGGGGCTTCACATTTTTATTCCTCTGATATGTGCATTTCAAGATGTTTGAAGACCAAAAAAGGATAAGAAATAGCTTTAACACCATGTCAATGGGCTATATGCACAGCTTCACTACTTCCTGAACTTCAGCCAGCTCCTTGTTTCCTGTCTGCCATTATTGGCCAAATTGATTAATTCAGGTGTGCTTGTCCTTAGTAGTCAAGGCAACAATAATCAAACACACCTGAATTAATCAAGTTTGGCCAATAATGGCAGGCAGGAAACAAGGAGCTGGCTGAAGTTCAGGAAGTAGTGCAGCTGGGCATATAGCCTATTGGCAGTATATTATTTGTCAATACCTGCTCTCTCCTCCTCTCCATTTCTCTTTTTTTTCTCAATCTCTTCATCCCTTTCTCTTCCCCTCCAAAGGCTGAGCTTTTTTAATGCACTAAAGGCTAACGTTACAATTCGTATTATATTCTCAATATGTTTACATTCATTATTACTCTTGTGCCTAAAATGATTAAAACGGCTTTGTTAATGTTTCTTGTCCCCTTACAATGACAGTAAACTAATTATTACATTACATGAGTCATGTTATAGGCCTATTTTTGGTTTAAAATGGCAAAATTTGACAACTATATTAGTTTGCATGATTATTTTTAGTCATTCGTTTAACATGAACCACAATTTTTACATCGGTGCATCACTACCGAAAACTAATGAAGACTTAAAATGGGTGCTAATGTCGTGTATCTGCGCTTTGGTGTTGGGTTCTCAGCACTGTCAAAATAAAAGTCCTGTTTACGGCACTTTGACCAAACTGGAAAAAATGCCCTTTATGGGTCAACCACTTTCACAGATAACTTTAAATGTCATGATAAATAAATAAAAAGTGAGTACTCTGCATTTTTAGTTGTAAGTTCACTTTTTCATGATTTTTTTTTTTTATCTCACCTTTTGCAGATGACAAAGGCTTGGCGTTCACATGATTGACGTTCCCAAGTCATATGGCCGGACTAGGTTAGCCTTCATCGGTCAGCAGATAAGACCATCCCATGCCCTCACCTGGGGTGTACAAGGATGAAGAAGATCAGTCTGAAGATGATCAGAAAATCACTAAACATAAAGGGCAAAGAAGATGGTGATTTCGTCATGCTTCAGCAGCCATCTTTAGCAGCTGAGTTTGCCAAGGATGACTCTCTCTTTGGAGGATGTTACACCAAAGGGCTGGTCAGTTGTGATCTTAATGGTGAAGATGAGAAGGGTCATAAGAACCGATCAAAGAGCGAGTCTCTTATGGGCACTCTAAAGCGGAGACTGTCTACCAAACAGAAAGCGAAAGTCAAAGGAGGTTCCTCTGCGGTAGGCTCTGATGATGATGACACGTTCTCTTCCTCGTCAGTCCCGATTAGCTTTAATGAAGTCAAAGCCCAGCGTCCCTTAAGATCCTCATCCCTCCGAAGCCATCATTACAGCCCTTCTCCGTGGCCTTTCCGGCCTGTCGGCTCAGAGGAGGCTTGCATCAAGATGGAGGTGAAGGTCAAAGCTATGGTCCACTCCCCCAACCCCAGTCCCTCCCTCAATGGCATCCGAAAGGAGTTCCATGACATCCAAATGGAAGGTCTGTTCCAGGATCAGAGCCAGTCTATGAAGGACATGGAGACTCCGAGTGGTAGCTTGCATTTGAACATTGAGGATCACGTGCCTATTGGACTCACACCTCAGGACTACATCCAGTACACAATGCCTTTAGATGAGGGAATGTACCCAAATTCGTCCCAGTCCTTTTGCTTGGATGGCCCCTCGCCAATGGAAGTGGTCGATCAGGTCGAATCTGACTCTCTGCACGTGGACCAGTGCCCGGATGACCACAATCTCTTGCCACCAGACATGCTCATGGAGCAGGCGGTGAACGGACACCTTCCTGGTAGTCCGTCAATGGTCCTGTCCAATTCCAGAGCAGACACACCTTTATTTTCTCCCTCACTGTCACCTCTTTCCACCAACGATATTCCAAGAACCCTCTCTGGGTTCAGTGGTGCAGACTCTCATGTTGTCGAGAGAGTGAGGCATCACCTGAACTTTGACCCCAATTCCGCTCCTGGTGTTAGCAGGGTGTACGATTCTTTCCAAACCAGCGGACCCATGGTTGTAACAAGCCTTACGGAGGAACTTAAAAAACTCGCCAAGCAGGGTTGGTACTGGGGACCTATAACTCGATGGGAGGCAGAGGAGAAGCTCATCAACCTTCCAGATGGCTCTTTTTTGGTGAGGGACAGTTCAGACGATCGCTATCTCCTCAGTTTGAGCTTTCGGTCACAGGGAAAGACGCTTCACACCAGGATCGAACACTCGAATGGCAGATTTAGCTTTTATGAGCAGCCTGACGTAGAAGGTCACACTTCCATCGTAGATCTCATCGAGCACTCTATAAAAGACTCAGAAAATGGCGCTTTCTGTTACTCCAGATCCCGTCTGCCGGGGTCCGCCACGTACCCCGTTCGGTTGACCAATCCGGTCTCGCGTTTCATGCAAGTCCGTTCGCTGCAATATCTTTGTCGCTTCGTCATTCGACAGTACACACGGATAGATCTCATTCAGAAACTGCCTTTACCAAACAAAATGAAAGATTATTTGCAGGAGAAGCACTACTGAACGGACTGCAGTGGGATATGGTAGTAAATTGCACTTTTTGTTTAGTGACGCGTTCTTAAAACAGTTTACATGTATGGAGGTCAAGTGATGAGTTGCATAAGTTGATTATCCGATCTTCCCACAGAAATGAATAGTACATTTGTTGTTGCTCAGATTCAGTGTTTTACCTTTTGCAAGGCTCCAAATGTTCAAAAACCAGTCAGGACTTTTGATGTCATGCCTAATACACGTATTCATAATGACTGTAATGCTAATACTATTCTCAAAGCTTGGATTTCGCCCTGCAAAAATTTGCCGAACAATGGTAAATGTGACTACACCTTTAAAAAGAACTCACTTCTTTCTAGAAATATGATGTCAGCCACATTTTTGTCAGGTTTCTTCTACAAATCGGTACTTTTAATGAGGTTTGTGAATATGCTGGATGACAGAATTTTAGTGGAATACAGTTATCGTTAAATATCAGTAGACAACTTTCGTAAGAGAATAAGTATTCATTTAGCATTAAAGGGCATATTGCAGGTTAGAGGACCTAACGGGTCAATGCATAGAAAAATAATGTAGGAACTAGATTTTCTTTAAAATATACATATAAATACGCTACAGAAGCTTCTGGAGTCGTTTTTGAGAGAAAATGTTACTTCCGTGTCTGAAAATGGGTGTGGTTGGCGTGATGAAACAAGCGGGAGAGCGGTCGATTCAAACAACAGAAAAAAACAATGGACGGCAATGACATTTCGGACGCTGAGGAAATAGTCGTATGATGGACCAAGCCATAAAGTTATGAGCCTGCTATGCTAAAGAAAGCAGGGACAGGCCAGAATAATGTTAGACAGAACAGTCCGAGACAAATTGAGTTGTGGTGTGAAGAGAACCAGTGGAGAACAGGACAGGTGTCTTTTAGGTGAGAGACGTGCTTATATACACGTTCGCTAATGATATACTCTGTGCTCACAATATTGTACAGATTATTATGATCATATTACAGGCCAGCAGACATTACCATGTTTAGGGTAGATTTATACTATTAAATGTATAAAAACTATACTTGAGTATATTTCTATTGTACTAAAAGCATACAGGTACATTTTTAATACATATTTTTCACCTGGGTTATAACAAACAGAAAATTAAAGATTTGAGTATTTAAACAACCAATTTTGTTTTTCAATTACAGGTTGCCTCTATTTAGGGCATGACTAAGTTACCTTTATCACACTATTTGATGCCATTATTGGTATAGTTTACGACGATCAATATTCTTGCTTCCGCATCCCATGTTGAACTCCATCATATAGCCGGGATGATAATCATTTGATCTGAAGTGAACGCTAAACACGACCGCGTTTTCCGAAGCCGATGCGGAAAAGAAATCCCGTCTCTTCACCTGCACAAACCGCACCAGGAACGAAAAATGGGCTATAGCACTGTCCCTTTTCTTGTAATGGAAACTTGTGGACTCGATCTTGAATTCCTTACAGGCCGGAGTTTTTGCAAACTCCACAAACACAATAATTTACCATGACGATGATAAATTAAAATACAAAAACTACTGAAAGCACACTGACCTACGACCGCTCTCACTGAATACCAGCCTAGTCTGCACTGAGCCGAGGCTGAGGCTCCCTAACGTGACGTAAAATGATGCGATGTTGAAAAAAAGCTGTTTTTACGAGAAGTACAAGAAACGCTCACTTTATCTACTAAATTATTTAAAACATTTTAAATCCTGCATTAACTTTTCATATGGTATTTTCATACAAGTTTATCTATAAATTTAGATTTTTTTACCTGCAATATGCTCTTTAATATTCTACATTTATTGGAGGGTTACAGTAGATCATTAATTCGTCTTTTGTAGATCTGTGCAACAACAAATTCAGTCAGTCGGGTATGAGAAGGCCAGAAAGAAAGGACTGTGAATCACATCTAAAACAAATGTCATCGAAAAATACATGCAGAATGTTACAAATCTGTGATGTTATACAAAAAGGGAGCAGGTATGAACAAAATAGGTTTAGTTTTTTTTTTTTTTTTCACTTTTACATTGTATATGTGGTTCACAGTAGTCTATTCTGTCTAAATCATTTTTGGCTCATTTACATTAAGTAAAGATTTGTAATGGTTCACAAACTTTTTTTTTTTCAAACAGCCTTTCGAGTATTTCATATTCTAGTGCTGGAATGATTGCCATCAGTCGTTGTTGTAAAATTTCTGGTTGAGAGAAGAAAATAATGCTAAGATTTGTTCGCAACAACAACCTACCAAACCCAAAAGCACAGGGTTTTTTTTAGAAACATTTCACCTTAAATGGCTTGTTTACTCTTCAACCATAACCAAGCATTTAATTAATCTGAAAATATCCCAAAGGAATTATGCATTCATAAATTCTTGAGTGATTATGGGAGATTTCCCCCCCTTGCAGAACCGACAGCAGGCTTTCCTGACCCTCTGCCCTCCATAAAAGCAGCATGGCAGCCTGTCAATATTCCATAAACACTGCTTCAAGCCAAAAATGTTGCATTCAGATATTTGAGAATTCTGTGGTGCATTGTTTTCCCCACACCACCTATCCTCTTTTCTGTCACCTGAAAGGGAATTATGTGTTGCTCATCTATCCTTTAAAGGTCCCCCGACATGAAATTTTCACTTCTAGAGTATTATTTTTAACATTAATATGAGTTCCCCTAGCCTGTATATGGTCCCCGGGGGCTAGAAATTTCAATCGGTGTGAGCCGAGCTTGGGCAGTCTTGAAAATGAAAGTTCAGATGCGCTGATCTTGAATCTCCCCTGTATGACATCATACAGGGGAAAGGTTACCTCCCCGCCCAGAGAATGTGGCTCGGCCATGAGAAAATAGGAACGCGTTAGCGCAATTTGCAGTTGATCAGTGTTCGGATGTACAAATTGAACCCAAAAGTTTTTTTTAGTTCCTTCATCCGAGCCTCTGAAGAAACAATGGGTTCATTTTATTTTCTCTAGAAATCCCAAAGTTTTTTATGGTGCAAACATTTCACCGACGACTGTTTCCTCACTTGGGCCAGTACAGATCTAGCCTCGATGAACGTCTGAAAATAAATCGATCGAGCTACCAAGCAATCATTTCTGATGTGTAGCCTAATTGTTCAAGTTCAGACAGGTAATCTTTCTCTCAAAATCGTTCAATACTGTTTATGCATTAGTAAGTTAAGTTTCAAATATCAACTTCACATCGTTTCTTCTAGTAGGATGAAAATAATCTGGAAAGCGATCAAAGAACAAACTTTCCACACAGCGCTAGTTTATCTGGACAACTCGTTATGAAATCAATGACGCAAGTTACTTACTTTGTGTACATCATCCTGTTTGCATTGATGAAAGCATTAGAGAGAGTGCAGAAACTGCATTACAATGATAAGATCTTCATTCCCGCGATCAACAGGCTGTCAACTGCTTGTTCAATGATCACGGCAACGTTTTATGAGATGGGAATAGATCTAAATACTTAAAACGTCTCACGACTCGTTAATCTCGATAGCTGTAATAGTAAAAATGTATGATAGCTGTAGTAAAAGTTTTCGAGAGAGTTTCACATTTCATATGCAAGCATGTCAGCCAATCACAGCAGTGGGCGGTTACACTGAATCCCACAGCAGACACGCCCCTTCAAACGGAACGTTCAAAGCAGAGGCTAAAATCAGGCTAGGAAAAATGCCTTTTATTTATAAATGATGACTATTTTTGATCTAAAAAAACATACTAACATTATAAGGGCAACCCAGGAAACATTATAAAATAATAAAATAACCCATGTAAGGGGACCTTTAAAGAGGGCTTTGGATAGGAGAAATCGTCAGTCATTAGAAGCTCATATTTTGTGAGAGTTAGTGGTTTGTTTATTGCTGGGATAAATTTGATATAAAATGGTTTTGCATGTGCTCTGTCCTCATACAGGTCGGCCCTGGTTGGCTTTGGACTAGATTGGGATAATCAGCAAACGGGAGATTATAAATGTCTCTTTTGCTGGCATATTGAATGTGTGTGAATCAGCCAGATCTTTCTATTTGCGGTTTTCACACCACACATGGTCCAAGGCTTTTAAGGGCCTTTTTTTTAAAGTGCCAAGTGGCGTTCACATAAACTGGTGAACAATGCCGCGGAAAGTATTTGTGAGACACATTGGGGAGACTTTGAAGGTTAGCTGTCAAATAAACAGTTTGCCATCTTTACTATTTATTAGTGAAGAGAACCCATATTCCATTCCTTTAGCAAAAAATGTTTTATGTGATGCGTATGAGGGAACAGTTTGAGATGTGAATCGCTTCATTACACAACTGAAAGAAGCTTATTTTAAATGCTGAATCTTGCTGTATTTGAATGGGCAAAAACTGCCATTTTCCCATTAAATGAAGGTTATTGTTGTTTTTTTAATCGGTTGTTGGATTTCAGAAGAATTGCCTAAATTGTGTGTTTTGAGAGTGTGGACAAGCAACAAAGAGGAATGTCTTAGGCAAGGCACAAGATTTTCAGTCCGTTGAAAATGCATTTACCAGAATGTGGAAGTTGACTGATGCAAAAAATAAATGTGAACTTGAGTGTTTGACCGCAATGCACATTGAATTTCTTTTGTTTTTCCCAGACGTGTGGCATAATTAGATAAACCCTGAAAATGTTCAGTGTGTGTGTGTGTGAGCATGTTTCAAAAAAGGAAAAAAAGTTGCCGGGACTCCATCATGTTCAATATCATTTTCATGACCTTGTTTGTATGTCGTTAGATGTCTCTTGTTCGGATTGCTGAAGTATTTTGAACCGATGACAGTTGAGCACTTAACAAGCTTCACTGAAATATCTATTTTTCTGATCCATGTTCTGTTGTCCTTGTGCTGCGAATGAAGGTGAATGTTTACATGATGTATTTAGTACAAATTAGTTTCTCTTTGTTTATATCTCTTTCTTAAACATCTTGGTACAATTTTACCGATGTATTTCTTTAATGTGTCATACACATTTGTGCTGCTTTACGATTATGATTGCCTTTTTAATTACAAAATGGGGAAGATAGAATGTCACCTAGATATAGGCCTGTGTATTCACAATGATTTTGGTATAGTCTTGAGAAAGTCAGATGCAAAAATTGTCAACGTTTTTAATCCGTGATGATAATGCTCTGAATTCAGTCCTTTTTGTTGAAAAGGGTCTGCTCGCTCCAGTTTACATGGTCAGTTTTCCAAAGTCAGTTTTTGTTTGTTGTTAAGTTGAGTTAATGAAAGTACCAATAGTGTTTTCTTGCACATTTG